TCAGTTTGTTTCTCTGTCAATTTATATAGACAGCTTGTCAGCAGATGTTGAATTAGTGCAGAACTTTTTACTATCAAGACTGCTGTTGGGAGTAAGACAATTTTATTTGTCTCACATTCAGGGGATGTGTTGAGACCAAAGTGCAATATGCAGATTTTACGTCTCTGACATTCAGTAGACATGTAAAAGATAGTAAAATTGCTCTATGAGGGGTTTTGGTTTGGGTTTTTCTGTGTAATGCCTAAGAGCAGTTAGTCATACCTGAGAACTCCAGACTCCACAGTAAGGATAGAGATGATCTGCTAGCATCCCTTCAGTCAAAATTGAAAGACAAGCATGAAGAACATACCATCCAAGATATTTATGGATGCCTTTAAAGCATTTAGATCAGACAATTAAGAAATTTACAATTAATTTTGGGGAGGCACTGTAATGCCAATAACTGAAACACCAAAGAAACTGTCTCCCAGCTTGCTACTCTGATACAATAGCTCATTCTTTTCCAGGAGATACCATAATCAAGCATTATTTGGCAGAACAAAGGTGAATGTTTCCTCTTCTCTAGGACCAGACAAACTAGAAATTGCAATGTTACATAGCTTTTGCAAACACAGTTCAAAAAGTCTCAGAAAAAAGACTTTTTTTCAGAGGAACTTCTCACTTGCTTCACAAACCACATTTCAACAGAAAGCCTCCTGATGCTAGTTAAGCACCTCATTCATTCATTTGTGGTCTGTGATTCTGTAACGAGTAGCAGTCTTCAAATCTCATTTTTGTAGTGAGATGAGACCATTTCAGTGAAAGTATGACCTCTTGATTTCCATGTGGGCTATCTAGGAAGATAGCATGGGACTACTCACATAGAATGTGATCCCAGGAAACCTATAGTCCAACCTCCAACACATGACTAGATCAGCCATGGCGTCAAGCCAGATTGCTCAGGGCTCTATCCAGTCTTGTCTTGAAAACCTCCATGCATAGAGCCAGTAAAACTGGGTATACATCACTCTAAGATATAAATTCATCATATAATAGCATGAGTACTCACACAAACCCTGCTCACTCAGCGATAGGGCAGAGGCAGTAAGAGAAGGGGAGTTAATCTTAACTGAATAGTAGCTTCTATTTGAAGAATATTTTAGAATTGGAGTAAGATAACGCACCAAACTTCAGAATAAAAAAAAAATTGGCAGCTACTGTTTACTTTTGGCCATCCTCTGGGAATGGGAGCCCACTAGGATAAAACAGCTTCACTGTTAACTCATTGAAGTGTTTAAGACAAGTTTTTAGAAACTTCTTAAAAACAAAACTTTATAATAGCTGAAGAACAACAGACACTTTGAATTGCCTAATATTTTTGAATGAGCACACGACTTGTTTAGAAAGGCTTTGATAATTACCCCAGCATGCCAGTTACTGAGCAAATGAATGTTATACCTAGTTGCTAGCAGTTTTTTTAAAGAACAAAGCAAATGCCCCATAGCAATGCTTGGTAGAGGCAAATGTTAGCCTTGTAACTTAGGAAAGGAGCATGTTGTAGGTGGTGCATTTCTAGCTAATTAGCTGAAAATTAAAAAAGCTCAAGGAAATAAAATGAAACTACTTGCTGAATGGTTTATACCCTGGAGTAAGAGACACCTTCATAATGATAAAATGCTTTTAATCACCAAAGGTTTGTTTAATTGGCTCTGTACTGATATACAGCACACAGCACTGAAACTGTGCCAGTGTGGCCCGTCCCAAAATTCAGTGCAGTAAACAATAATGGGACTTGGAATTAATTTGGCTAATCTAAAAAATTCTCTGAAGGTCTAATCCTTCCGCTTTGGAAGAAGATCAGGCCAAACAGGCACAGTTTTGTCACAGATGCTACTTGAAACATGGTTTTTATATTAAATTTTTCTTTCAATGCGAGAATACTAATTTCTGACTCCTTGAAATGTGTATATCTGTATAGGCAGCTGAGCTAACTTTGCAGTAAACTTTGAAAAATGTCAAATGGAAACCTAGGCTGGGTGGAAAGTTCAGCAAGGGGGGGGTGTCTTAAAAGCTCAGAGCAATGATACTTGTGGTTTCTGTCCCATGATCTGAGCACCCACAGGGGATTTAGGGTCCTTACACAGGATGCACTAGCAGTCCACAGAGAAGCAGCTGTGAGTGTGGGTTACTGTGATCTACCCTCCACGCCAAACTTTCCTCCATGGTTGTCCCTGAAAATCTACACAGGAAACTTGTAAAGAGCTAAAATTAATCTTATTGTATAGTAAAGGTGAATTTATTTCAGCAAATTGACCTCCGATTTTTGGCAGGTTTCAGTTTCAATTCATGACTTTTTACCTTTCTTCTCTAACTGCGCTGACCACTTCTGCTCCTGTGAGAAGGCACCACCACCTGGCTGCTGTCTCACTGCTTTCAGATGATGGTGCTGCTACTTTAACTATTGAGCTGCTTATCTACCAAAATTCACAGGAAACATGCAGAAACCTGTCAAGAATAGAGTTTCTGATGTAGGCGCTGGCTCCACACCAGCCCTGCTGACACAGACAGACTGCTATCACCCTTTTGTAATTTGGTTTTTTTGCTACATGTCAAGCTTCAGAAGGTGCTGGTTACATTTACACAGTTGATGAGCTTCCTAATCCAGTGTCTAGTTTCACCTACATATTGAATTTTTAATCTAGTAAAGATTCTTATATCCATAGCTGGAATATGCCCTCTGCACTGGATGAGTCTGTGGTGGAACAAGTATTATATAAGCTAAACACACTGGTCTGGTTTTTTGTTTTTTTTTTTTTTTTTTAAATTGTAGAATAAGACTTGGCTTTATCCCAAAGCAATTAATTTATTCCTTTAAATTAAGAAAAATAAAAATCAAGACATCTGATCTTTTCAGTGTTATATATAACTTTAATTGGTTGATGGGTACAATCTGAACAGATCAATCTGAAGAAATATGTTTGCAGAATGTACTTATTGAGTGAAATTAAATCTACAACACTCAGAAGGTAAATCTGTATATCATTAGAAGCTTCAGTGACCTTCATTACAATCTTCTGAGTGTATTACCTCAAGAAACTAAAATTCAGTAAGCATGTTGTTTTTCCCTAAAATCTCATTGGCCATCAGGGACTAGTAGACCTGTAATTCAAATATGAGGTTGCATTTTTTTGTTAAGGCATATGGTTAACATAGTATCACATGCCTGCCAGGTTGTCTAAAAGGGGAAACACGCTCCTCAACTCTATGACGAACAGCTGCCATATTTTGCTTCCCTCTCTCTTTCCTCCTCTTTTATTTCTAGTAGGGAGACAGTCAAGCTACAGGTTTGAGGGATAGTCTTTACTCACTAGATCTTTAAAATGTATCCATGGTTGGCTTTAAAGGAAAAATGTTTGCTCCCTGGGTCTACTCTGAGCTGGTAACCTCTATAATGGACTGTGACTAGGGAGGCACCTAAGTGAGATAAAAGATAAAATTAATAGCACCAGGGTGAGGTTATATGTATTCACACAACCCAAACTAAGCAGGAGCAGGATGGCTTAGCACTTGGATTGGAAATCCAAGCAAACACTCCTGAGCACAGATTGTGGCTGCCTATGGCTGTTACAGATCCTGGAGCACTTTTCAATGAACATCTAAGCTCTGGAAGGGGTGATTACACTCTGCTTAAACCCCCCTGGAAATCTAAGCAGCACCCAGCTCTCTACTCTCTGCTCTGAAACATTTGTCTTCAGCTGGTGGACAATGTTCAGCTTCACGCTGAGGGTGATTGTGCTTCCCTGGTTGGAGAAGTGATCCCCATATGCTGACTTTAACAGTGTGTGAGATGATTTGAGACTTGTTAGGGTAAAAGATGTTGTAAAAACATGAAAGTTACATTGCAGTTACTCCAAAAAAGGATGTATGCCGTAAGTGAGCAACAGGGCAATGAATCAGGGTACGTTTCAGAAGTGCATGCTGGGCCTGTTTTAGGGACACAGCACTGCAGTGAAATGCCTAAACAAGAGATGGATAGAAGTGGTTTGAGCACAGCTCTGGAGAGTCAGAACTCCTCTGTGCCTACCCTCCCCTTAACAACAGCCAGAGCTATTTCTTCAAGGGCTTCCTCGAGGAAATGTAGGAAAAGTGATGTTCCCGTCAAAGAGAGATAATGTCATTTATCTGTACGGCTGGTCTATTGTCACAGTAAGCCGATAATTTTTGCAAGGCACATGCGACGCTCTAATAAGCACTAGTTAAATATTTCTCTCTGTCATCCCGTTTCCCATAGACGACAATAAAGTTTCTACACTACCTGTTTTAATAGCTAATTAAAGCTATGACTTGCCTTTACCTGGCAGCTTAGACATATTTATATGCTAACACAGGGAAAGTTACCCATGGATTTATAACAGCACACAAAAACCTGCCAGCAAAGCTCTTCGGCTCCGGGTGACAAGGGAGGGAGCGCGACTGCCCTCGCCATGGCACGGTCACCTGCCCCCGCGGGGACCCGCCCGCCGGGGCTGGGGGGTCCTGCGCGGCCGGGGGCACCTCCCCAGCCCGCCCGCCCCCAAAGTTTGGCAAGGAAAGTTAGTGTGTAGGCGCCGCTGCGGAGGCGCTTCCCGAGAGCGACGGGAGCAGCGGGCAGGAGCAGAGGTGCAGCCGCGGGGCACCCACGGGGGACGAGCGGGACGGAAGGTAGGTGGCTGGGTGGGCTTACTGCGGGATCTCCTCCCTGGCCCCACCAGCAGCCGCTCCCCCGCCGGCACCGCCCGGCGCCGGGAGTTTTGCCGCCGGGAACGGGAGGCGGCGGCGGCAGTGCGGCCGCCCCAGTGCGTTCAGCGCGGAGCGGTCCCGGGGGGCGGGCGAGCCGCGGCCGCGTCAGCCCCGACCCTCTGGCGCGGCCGTGGCGAGGGGCTGCAGCGCCGGGACCGGCCCCGAGGGGGCTGCGGCTCTTCCCCCGAAGTTGCGGAGGTCGCAGAGCCTCCGCGCGGGGCTGCGCTCCGCGCACCCACCAACTTTTCTGCTGACTCCTCACGCCCCCGCACCTCCCCGCTCCGTCACACGCCGGGAATTCGTGGCTCGTCTCCAAAATAAAAAATGAGCTGGTGTTGCCTGTGCGTTTTATAGCAGTAGAGTGGATGACTGGGGCAGGCTGCGAGTCTTATTGGCGTGCTGAGAACACCTGGGTTCACTGCAGTCCATAAACAAGACCGAATCATTTCACCAGTTCAAAAAAAGGGAAGATCTTGCTTTGACACAGCCCTTCTCCTAATCTTCCCCGTTCTAAGAGAGGGGAAAAAGCCCACCTCCAATCCTGATAAAAGACTGAGAGCCATCAAGTTGCTGTCTCGCGAGCCCTGTATCTGTTTTAACTTCCCAAAATCCAGGTGTCTTCCATGTGGGACTGCTCACTGACTTCCAGCAATGCTTCAGACAGGTAAGAGCTAAGCATGTCAAACTTATCTTTGTCTGCTGAGGTCCCTCAGTCCTGACTGGGAACTGTTACTAAGAATAATAATGATTTTTCCTTTTCTAAGCAAGATGTCCGGCAGCTGTAGAGTGAAACCCTTAGAACTGAATATTCTGGTGAAGTGGTGAAGTTCCAGATCCCGACGCTTTTGGTGTCTTCTTTGTTTTCTGTAAGTAACCAAAACTTTCCATGATGCTGATGTGTTAACCTGCATACTCATGGATAGGACAACTTGGCATTTATCTGTTATTAACACAAGTATAACTTTTGTTTGTTTAGAACTGCAGCTTTAAATTAAACTATAAGTCTGAGGCAAGTTGCTGTTTGCATTATACTAATATGGTCATAGGATTTATGGTTGAGGTGCAGAATCAGGTAAGTGGTGTGCATGTTCTCAGAAGCAATGCAGGTGCTATGGATTGCTTTCAGTCACCTAGTACAATTCCTATGGAAAGTTTTAATGGCATGAGAAACAAATATATGCCTCTACTAAAATGAGTCTTGTTTACATCCATTGCTTCATTAAAAGGAGTTTTTTTTCTTTGAAAATATATTGAAAGGATAACGAGGAACTAGTGACGTTAATAGCTTAAAATGGTGAAATCAAATGCAAACCATATTTTCTTTGCCACGTTATTAATTTTGTACAATATGTTATATGCTGTAAAGTGTATTAATAACAAAACTTAATTGCTATAACAGCATTGTAGTCTGCTATGTAAAGAGGGAGAGGGAAGTTGAAAAATGTTAAATATGTACAGGTTGGCTAGGTGGGAAGTTACTTTGGTGATGTTGATGTATGGAATTTCCTGACTGCGGTTGAAATTTTAAATTTTGGAGCTCTATTTTCTTAAAGCGGCTTTATTGTTTCAGGATTATCAGTGGGTGAGTGAAAGATGCTCACTTTGATAAAAATAGCTCTCTCCTTTGAAAAGAAATCCCTACGTATTTCATAAAAAAATATTTCATTATTTGTGTCTTATGGAGCTCTTAACAAAATTCTCTTAACTTGATTTGCAATGTTTGTAGGTAGTAATCTTCTTTTATTGCCAGTGATAAAAGTTGTGCAGGCCAGATGGTGTCTTCAGTTACACTTTGACACAGCATTCTTATAAGCAGCTCTTCAGGTGCAGAAGTGTTGAGGTGTCAGCAGGACTGATGTACCAGTGGGCCTGGATGCTGGGTATCTCCCCACTGCCCTGTCTGTATCTCCCCAGCAGATTCTTATAGACAGGAAGGGCTACATTATGTGAATTTTGGTTTGGTTTGGGGTGATTTTTGGTTGGGGTTTTTATGAGGGGGTTTGGTGAGGGGTTTTTTGTTTGATTGGTTGGTTGTGGTTTTTTATTTTTTACAAACGTTCTCAGCAACACTGAGTTTGATTATCTCGATCTGCCTACTCATTTATACCAAATTTCTGTAGGGCCTTTGACGTCGCCCAACCATAATATTCAGTGTAACTTGCTGGAGATAGAAAATGGCAAATATTATATGTATATTCCTAGCAACCTTTGGAATAAACCAGAACAAAAAGCAGCATTGCCTGATATGAGGAACTATGCAAGCATTGTTAAGAGCTGGAGCTGTGCCTTGTGATAGTTGTTGCAAAGCCAGAAAGTTGAGATGTGGACAGTGGAAAGATGATCCTGAAGGATCACCTGTATGTGAAGTAGGACACAAGATAACAGATGAGAAGTGAGGGAGGAAGGGAAGTGTTGAAGTGAAAAGATATCCTTGCCTCCTTCCACAGACTGGGCTGAAAGCAGCCTGGGCCAGTGTCCAGCAGAACATTCCTCGGTACAAAATTTCTGCTGTGATAACTTCAGTGGAGGTATCAGAAAATGTAGTGCTTCTTGAGGTAAGGAAGGAAGGAGGGAATAAAAAAAGAAAAAAAATGTGCATGAGGTTACAGTAGCTTTCTGTGTCCTTTTTCTCATTTTTCTTTCATTAATTCAGTTGTGTCTAAGGAGATACTGAGTGGGTGGGAATTTTGGTATCCCACAGTAATATGAATGCTTTGACCATTATAAAGAGTGTCTGGGTTTTTTTCATCTGCATTCTGCTGGTTAACCATGCTTTTTGATTATTTTTTTTTCAGGTGAAGGAAAAAAAGGTGCACGAAAAAAAGGTGAACAGGAATTTAAAAGGAAGATTTCTAAATAGGTTGAGGCAATCTAATGTTTTACTTTTATACATCCTTGATTTTGGAACTAGATGATGGTGAGGGTCACAGTGGCAAGGAAATCTAAAGTTAGGCAAACATCCTGTGACCAGATGCCATTGATTTTGTGTGGTCTAGAATAGGAAGAAGCCAGCAATGGTACCTGAGAGCTGGGGTGCCTCTCCTCAGCTGCAGGTATATTTGCTTGCCAGAAAGAAAGAGGTGGATGATGTACTGAAATGTAGAATCATGCCAAAAGCAGGAGGCGGACTCTTCTCCCTTTTTGGGTGGCTGTGCTATTTCAATTGCTTGTGTTGGCCCTGTACAGGAATGTGCCTCTTTGAACCCAAACACAATGGGAAAAATGCAAGGATTTTATATCAGTGGAATGTGCATTCTCAAAACCCTTAATATTTGACAAATTTTTAACAATTTGGCCTCAGAAGTGAATGACGATAAACTTGTTAAATTTCTACATTTTTGCTGCAAAGAAGTCTGTGTTTGTCTTCTAAGGCATGTGGTGCTATTTTCTGCCAGATTAACTGTTTGTCCATGGTGGATAAGATTAGTATGTAGTAATCTCTCTCCAGTACTCAAAAGGTTGCATGGGTCACTATGACATTTTCTGTGAAAGCTTGAGTTGAAACAGTTGGGACATTGGGCTCCATACACCTGAAAGAGGTGGGGGTGAGGTTGGGCAAAAGCAAGAATCTAGTTCAGCATAGACAAGAGGGTCACAGCATTAGTTTCCCTGTAGCAAGGGAGGGCTATGTTAGTTTCCCTGTAGCAAGAATCCCATCCAGCAGGATGGTCAAAATACCCCCCAGTGGAGCCATGTTGCCCACAATTGGTAGTAAAGCAGGATTCACAGCTTAAGTAGGGATGCTGAACCTCTGGATACGGCTGATCCCTTTTGAAAATACCTAGGTTGAAAGTAATTGCTTGTTGGCTCTTTACAGCCTCAAGAAAGCATTTATCTTGATTAAAGAATATTTGCAGGTATTTCCTCTTTTCCAGGATGCCTGAGAGTGTTATCCATAAGCATTGCTTTTTAATACCAAGGGAGCAAATTTGTCAATGTTGTGCAGCCATTTTTCGAGTTCTGATAGAAGACTCATACACACAGACTTTTTTAAATGTCACTATAATTTTTTCATATGTGGGTTACAAATCACTGTGTTAAATAAATTAAACTACTTATTCAAGCTGAAAAGCCTTTAAAATCTTATAAGGTAGCAGAATAGCTTCAGAGTTTGGATGGCTTTGATGTATTTAGAGTCTGACCTGTGCTAAAATAGGTAGTCTTAATTAAAATAGTGTTACTCTTATTTAAAACTAACCTTAAAACTAACCTTAAAACTTAACCAACATATAAACAAAGAACACAGTTTCATATAAATTAAATTTAAAGATATTAAATTAAGATATTAATTGCAAACAGCATGTAAGTTCTTGATACATAGATAATTGTAGTGATGGTGAAGTGAATCGGCTTTAGGGTATGTTCAGTAGTTTAAAAAAAAAAAAGGCACCTGGAACTGCTGTTTCCTTTTAGGAACGTCTATCCACTCAAAACCAAAACTATCTAGTAGAAGAACATCTGTTTTCTTATTGTCAGGTTAAATTATTAGGAAGTGCTCCTGATTTTACTGTGCACCTGCATCATCACCTTTCAGGTCTTGTAGATGGTGCTGGATGCAGCCATGATGGCGTCTGGGCAAGGTCAGCTGTGTATCCTGTGCTATCGTGTGTCATGGATGCATGCGATAGCTGCTACTGCTAAAGGAAAAAACATCAGCACTATTCCTTGGGTAAATCCTTTGGGAACTATAATTTGATTAAACAAATGTTCCCTGACTTCCTTGGTCAGTAAGGTCCCCATTCCTTTTCCTGGGGCAGTTTTTAGCTGGATGAGCTATCCATCCATCTATTTAGCTGGATGAACATTCGGAAAAATGTTGCTGAACAGGTGTGTAAGCCCTCATGGCAAGAGTGGCAAGAGCTGGGCAGTCAGGGGTCATGAGAACAAGTGACTGGAGAGCGCAGCAGTGCCAGCGTACGTTTGTCAGAAATGTTTGTGAAGATGTGATCTGAAATACTTTACTTTCAGCATCATCTACGTAGCCTGAAAAGCTTTTCTTGCCCCTCCTCAAGGACACTTTTCAGAAAGAAGGGCTGAAAATTTGGGAGGTTTTTGTAATCGGAAATCGGAGAAAGTGACAAAACCACAAAAGCAGGCTTATTTGGAGCATGCCACTTCATTGTGTGTGTCCAGATTGCTTACTTTTCTATTATGAGAGAAACTTGTGAATCCCAAACAACTTTTTTTCAAAAGAAATTGATTCTTGCTTTCTAATTTAAATACTTTATTTCAAAGATACTTATTCAGATCCTCACATCTTATTTATTTGCTGTTTTTAATCTTTTTTCCTAATCCAGATGTTGTCAATGTCCTGTTACATGAACAACACAGCTTTTGTCTACAGCAAAACAGAAGAGGTTTGTACTTGTTGATTCTTTGACTAATGATTCCTTAAGCATCGCTTATGCTGAGAAGCTTCTGTCTTATCAGCAAAGTGATTTCTGAAGACATGCAAACAGTGCATTAGCTGCAGCACTGAAGTTGGGTGCAAAGATCTAAATAAACCTTGTAGCATAGATAAAGAAGACTGCAAGTCTGAGAATTCTGAGGGCACTGTAGGAATAGAAGATGCAAGTGATAACATCTAATGAAGAGCTGGCTGAAAGGAGGCTCCACTACCCACACCTTTACAAAAAGCATTTCACAGAATTCCCCAAGCATTTTCTTTGGTTTTGCCCAAAGAAAATGCTTCCTTCCAATCCTGTGCATCATCTCAATAGCTGTAAACAGGTACTCGTATATAACATGGAGGAAATTCCCTCTCTACTGAATCAAAGCAGAGAGAGCTAGGTGCAATAAAGCACATACTCACCTTTCTTTCGTGTGCCAGGTTTGAACCAGTTGCTTCATGAAAATGACTTCAGATAGAACATTTACATTCTGTTAATGTCTAACTATTTGTCTTCTACATAACAATTACATATAAAATGATTAATATTTAAACTGTGGATTGCATTTTCTGCAGGCATGTTTGTGGTTAAGAGAAGCGTATAGTTTAGTGGCACAGAATTGGAAAAAAATCTGGAAAGTTCTGAACACAGTTTTGTTGTTCTTGAAATCCTTTGTCTTTCTAATGTAGTAACTTCGTTCATTCAACAGCTGTTTTTAATGGGAGTTCCTGCTAAGCTTTATGTGTACTGTATTTTTAGAAATTCAGCAATTCTAGATGTAGTGGTTAAGTTATTTAAAAATATAAACTTGTGGAACATGCAGTACTTGCATGTTTCAGAATAACTATTAAGTGCCTGAATTTTCTTTTCCTGTGTATTTGAATGCACATGTACTTTAGCTCTACTTTTTAAAAAGATTCCTCTTTTAATATCTTCCATTAGGCTGTATTCCTTTAAAAGCTTGAGTTTTTCCTGGCATTCTTTGTGGTAGTTCACCAGACTCTTCTGTCAGATGTGCACTTACAAGGATGTCCATTATATTGAATTTTAACACATTTGCTGCGAGGCCAATTTCAACACCTGCTCTTCAGCATCTAATAATGCACTTTCAAAGTGAGGGCATTCTTATTCAGGTTAAGGAGTTGTCTTTTTAGTGTTCCACAGTGTCTTCTATGTTCTGATGTTATAAACTGAATTTTATGAACCCTTTGTGTCAGGTGCGGGGTATCAGGTAAATTATTTTTTCTGGGCCCACTGGTGTGCCAGAAAGTAATATTTTTTATAAGTTTTTACATTTGAGCTCATTTTCCTTAAATTTAGTGTCAAGAATTGAGTTCCTGACAGGTCCTTCTCCATGATGCAAAATAGCTGAGTAAAAAGATGATCTGCTAATTCCTTTTCTGCTGCGTTACTGATATATTCTCATGCTCACATTTTGTAACCCTGAAAAACTCACCTTAGATTCATATTTGACGGTAAACATCAGAGTATGACTCCTCGATGCATAGGCTGAACTGATGTTGAGGCACTGCAAACAGAGTTGTTGTGTTGTGGGGGTGACTGCAGGCTCCTGAGAGGCTCCAGCTGCTTGCTGTAGCTTCTCAGCTGTGAAGGTTGGCAGACAGAGTGGTGTGCTGGTGGTGCACTGGTGTGACACTTGATGATCTCGTTTGGGTCATCACCTCCTTCTGTTACAGCAGCGGGTGATGTTTGGTGTTGTGGAGGTGAAATTGTCTTTTCAGCTACTTCAGGAAACACTTCTGCTTGGAACTCATACAGGGGTAGAAAAAGCATTGAGGCTGTGAACAGAAATATAAGCACTGAAAGTAATGTCTTGTAAGAGTTCCAGCTTGTATATAGTATGCTGTTTACACAGTCTCTGGTGAAGAATAAAAACGGAGAACAACCTCCATCTCTTGTTATTCCAGGTTCGTGTCTCTGGGGAAGATACTGAAGAAGATGCAGACATGCTGAAAACTTCAGAAAAGTGAACCATGAGTCTTTTTGAAAGCTGAAAAGAGGACCCCTGATAGGGTCATGAACCTAAGACAAGTCTTTGTGTCTGTACTGCTGTTTGGAGTAGCTGGTCTATTCCTCTTCATGTATCTACAAGCTTGGATTGAAGAACAACATACAGGTACAATAAGTTTTCTCTCTCTCTCTTTTTTTTCTTTTTTTTAATGTAATTGCATCCATTATGTAAAAGATGACTGTAAAATCTGTTGAATACATGTGGACAGTTGGGGGTGGAGCCCCCAGCTTTGCTGTGGAATGGCATTGAAAATAGGCTTGTTTTGATTGCTACACTTCATTAAGAAATTTCTTCAGTCACATAAAAAGATGCCCCCAGCTACCTAATTGTATTGTATCAGCTTCATTTGCAAAAGCAAGTGTTGCAAAAGCATTCTGTGTATGCATGAAGACAAGCAAGTCCAGTTTAGAAATAATTCTATATGAAGATTTGCGGTGGGTTTTTTACATTATGTTCTGTGTGGCAAAGCAATTTTTGAAGAATTACTGCTACGTCTTGTAAACAAAAGTGATCTTCTAAGCAACAGTGCTCATGGAATCGTTCTATCCTTTTCTTTTTTGTTGCTGTTTGTTTGAGACAGATACTGGACTTACAAGACTTTTTATATATAGCATCAGAGTCATATTGCAACTTCAGGTAAATCTGTGTTAGCAGTGGCCAAGAATTACACTGCTGAATTGAATTTCTGTTCCCCATTTCCAATGTTTTGGTTTGCACGAGAGGTTGATCTGAATTCTTTTATGGACAAAACTAAGTCGGGCTACTCAGCTCAACCCTTACTGGATGCTCAGTTCATGTGACTAGTCTAGAGTTCATCTGAAGTAAGCCTCCCCTGAAATGTGTAAGGGGTGGCTGTCAGTAAGGCCCTCAGCACCCACTGTTTGGCTCTGCAGATCCATTTCTGTTGTGTCATATTACTTGATGGCATATCCTTGATGTCAGTTATATACTTGTTTTGAGGGTTGGGGTTTTGTTTTGGGGTTTGTTTTTTTTTTGTTTTTCTCCATCAGCAATACAGAATGTTTCCAACTTGTTGAGTCTTGACTTTTAGATCTCCTTGTCTCTATTGCTCACCTTCCATTTCCTTTGTAAAAGTCTTATAGTATGTTGATACCATTGTGAAGAAATATATCTGTAAAACCCCATTAGTGTTACGGCTTTATTGATCTGTGCTGTTATTCCATATGAGCTGCTAGGCTCTGGTATGTTTTAGAGAGCAGTGTTGAGGGGGAACCTAGTGCATCATTCCTGCAATTGTTTGATAATGACCTTGAGGTTTTTTTCAACTAAAAGCAATAATCACAACATGAATTTTGGCTTGTTAATATTTCTGGGCTGTCCCAAGGTATTTACAAGCTTGTATTAAAAAAGCTGTTATAAGAGATAGTACAGGCTCCCTTTGAAAAAGTTCCCTTGTAATCAGCTGTTGACACAAGGGTGCTGGCAGAAACTGAGTGTGCAGCAGGGGGGGTCTTCCTTGAATATCTCTACTGTTGTCAGGAATGCTAAGGGCAGATATCCTTGCTTTCAAGGTAGTTCAGGAATGCAGATGATGACTGTAGATTATTGATTTATTTACTTGCTGACATTCTTCACATTCCTTGCATCTTTTCTTGTGCTGTAATTAACCTTTCTTTTCTTGCAGTGCTCCATGTTGCTGTTTCTCATTGTGTTTTTTTCCACTCCTTTCTTTTGTCTGTATCTCTCTACCATTAAGAAGAAACAGGAAAAATACAATAAAGGGGGACTTAGAACATACTATATTTTTTTTGGCAACTAGGTGCTTTCTTTGGGGTTTTCTTTGATGTATTGCTATAATCTTCTTCAGGAGAGAGGCTTCTCCTTGCACACATAAGTCATTTCCATGTGGAAACATTTTTGTAATAAAATGAAAGCTATCAGAGAATAACAGAATGCTTAGTGAGTTTAAAGCATGCCTGCAGTTTTGAGTGCCCTTTTATCTCACTGGACTGCTGTTGTGACAGCACTTCAGCAAGATCCAAAAAAAAAAAATTTTTGCATTCTCTACAGTACCTAGGTCATATACTTTGGCAAGAGCATGGAAAAAACTCGTTCTTTGGTGTCTGTTCTTGCCTCTTCTTCTTCCAATTTAACATGTAGAGAGCCATTCTTTTTTATTTTAAACACCTGTATGTCCTCTAAACCTTCTGCAACTGAATTCTCTAATGTTCCCCCCCTGTATGCTGCTATAGAGTTGATATAAAATAAAACTTCTCTGCATTTTCACAATATACATTAGTTTAGTTATGGGCATTTTGGAATTTTTTCCCTCTTCTGCTGTGTTTTTGATATTGCCATGTGCTATGCAATGTGTGGCTTTTTTGAGAATGAGTTGTATCTGGAGAATCCCAAATTGACAAGTATCTTTGCAAGGATTTTATGTGTTCCTTTAATCCTATCACTAGTTGCACAGCTGTAAGACAGCTAGTTTTAATCTGCAAGTGGCTGAGCATGTGATTTGATGTTCTATTAGGAAATGGAAAAGTGCACCTCGTGCTTCTCAACTGCCGGGTTGTGAGCCTGTAGAGACAAGTGTTTGTTGCAGGCAGAACTATTTTTATCTTCCACAGTGCCCTGCTCAAGACCTGCAGCATTCGTGTTTGCATTTGGTTGGTGAAGGGATGGAAAGTTGGATGTTCTTGAGTTTAGGAGTGTAACTGTTTTGCACCTGTGAACTGCTGCTGCTTACCACCCTATTCGTCTGAATAACTGACTTGGAGCTTTATATACCACAATCTCTGGAAAAGATAGTGAATTTTACTCAGTTGTTGTTTGTAATGTTCATACTTATTTCTCAGTCTCTTCTAGCTGTGGTGTGAATTATTCCCAATCATATGTAGATTTTCTGGGGAACTGGAAAATTGTATGGTAATTTTCAATGTCCTTGTTAATGTTTGTCCTACTATATTAAAGTTGGATTATTTGCTTTCACATTCACCATTCTTATTGCCAATTTTTCTCGCTAATCATAATTTTTCACACTGACCTAATGCTGCTTTTTATTCATGGTTTGCTTTCTCTCTTTTTGTATCTTTTCTCTCTATTTGCTCTTCATATCTTTGAGATCTCAGCTGTGATTTGATTCTTGTGTTTATCTTATTTTGCTCTAGTCTGATCTTATCTAAGCGTGTTTTTTTCTGATTGACTTTTACAAACTTCCCTCATTACTCAAATGTATCCAGCCCAGGAACACTTTCCCTAATTTTTCATGCTGTCCGTCTGCTTCAGAGGCACCCACAGGCTCAGCAGCTGGATGCACCTCTCAGCACGGCCATGTCTTCTGCCCCCTCCCACTGTGCTTGGTCACTTCAGATTATTTCTAGTCACGTTCATCATCCCTATATCTTAAAAAAGGGAAAATCTTTCATTTAGAGATGTCTAAGAAACAGCTGCTAGCTACGTGGTAGTCCTCTCTGATGGTTTTTAAGAGACATTAGCAGACTGAGAGAACAGGCAAGTTTCTTGATTTGGCTCTGTGCATGGAGTGTATAAAGACAGGATGATATATCTTTACTTAGATCTGGTAGAGCCCTTCTGTTAGGTGTCTTCAGATCACATCAGTGGAGTAATTGGGTACAGACTTATCAATAGTCCAACGTGAGCATCAACATATACAGACTTCATCTGGATGAAAATTTAATTGACGACATTGATAATGTAATATATATGGAGCACTTCATGTTCTCCATGTATAAATATATTCACTTATACATAAATTCACATACATAAATGAAGCTTAGTGTGAATTCAACTAGATGCTACAGATTTACTTGGCAGTTCTCCATATGGTCTTGCATTATTCAGTGCAAGCATCAAATATTGTGGCACTGATTAAAAAGCAATTACTATTTATTACATGTTTAGTAATTTCCAGCACCATTAATCATATGCAGGGGAAGCAAACTTCTGGGTTTCCAGGGTTCATGTTGAGTTCTATAACATGAATCACCTGAATTAGGGGATTGTGGGTTGCAAAAGATGCCTGTGTTTTAATCCTGAAATGTTAGAAATGTGAATTGGAGCGTTAAGTTAGGGATTATAATTTTGTACTTTAAAACTCTTCCTTTTTGGGAAGACTACTGATGGATTTAGTGTGACTGATTAGTAAAAAATAATCCAAGAATATCTTTATGATTAGATCTGTATGCTGAGCTTGTTGTGTGGGGTTTTACTGTGTGTTGGGTTTTTTCATCCTCTTAAAGTTTGTGTAATTCCTTTTTGTGAAGTGTGCTTATTAAATTCATGATTATGGAGGGCTACTTTAGTGTTTCATGGGGTACAATATGACTACCAATTAATGTGAAGAAGGCTGCACTGCCCTCCCATAGATTTCTGGTCCCCAAAGGTGAGAAAGTCTGACTCTTCTCTTTCTCAGCATCTTTGTATCTCGCCTGAAGGATACTGAGATTTTTCTGCTTGCTTTCTCCTCACTTTGCGAGATAGCAGTTTTGTAGTATCAGTGGGTGCCCAGACATCCTTCTGCAGTCCATGTACTTTCTTGCAATTTTGTGCATCTACCTCCTGAGGAGCTTCATCACACAGACCTTATACCCATTCCTCAGGCCACAGGTTTTGTTTTTGTGAAGAATCAAAATTTTAAAAAATCACATTTTAGGAAAAGTTTGAAATTCCATGAATTAACATGAGCTTTCACAACTTAGTCTGCTCTTGCTGTAGCCATCCAGGCTGAAGTTGTGTCAGAGGAGGTTTAGGTTAGATATTACTAAAAGATTCTTCGCCCAGAGGGTGGTTGGGCACTGGAACAGGTTCCCCAGGGAAGTGGTCACAGCACCAAGCCTGACAGAGTTCAAGAAGCATTTGGACAGCGCTCTCAGGCACATGGTGTGACTCTTGGGAGTGGTCCCATGCAGAACTAGGATTTGGACTTGATGATCCTTGTGGATCACTTCCAACTCAGCATATTCTCTATATATACTACATACTGCTGAGCATAAAAAGGTGGGCTTTTTCCCCTACTTTGCCAGATTTGGAACTCCAAGGGGATCTTTTGGGTCCTTTAGTAGTCTGGTGAGGTATTTTGAGTCCATGGAGAGACTTTCTTCCTTGTCTTGACACTCTAAGTA